TCAAGGACCTTTCTGAGGTTGACATACTTCCATCAGACAACATTGAGCCATTCAATAGGTAGGAAGGGTGGACATCCTGGTGTAGACAAGATGTCTGTGACAATGCTCTTGGAGTCAGCTGCAAAATTTTTGAGCTGTCGGTAGGTCTCTCTGATATCTGACGGTAAAGCAGCAAATGCTTTCATTCACCTCTGAGCCCAATGATATTTGCTAACATTAACAATCTTTGTTCACTTAGCAGATGGGTGGTCAATGTCTTCAGACTCAGAATCATCTCTTGGTTGCTTCTTTTCACTCTCTGTTTCTTCAAAATCAGAGGTTCCCCTATCATCTTGCTGAGCTTCCTCTTCCCAGGATGCTCCTTCAAAGTGTTGTCCTCACTCAGCTGCCTTTCCTTTGGATGAATCAATGCTGTTGAGCATTCTGATGAAGACTTCAAGGGCTTTGTTAAGATTTCTTTTACCCTTGATGGCTGGTGAATCAAGGAGGACATCTCTAAGTTCAAGGATGGTGTCTGCCTTTCCACATTGGCCAAGTTTATATTGACTGATGAGCTCACTACATTGTCGGACACATGAGAGATCCATCGTGACTTCAGCAGTCATTTGCGTAGGTCCAGATGATGTAGCAGTTTGGGAGGTTTCTCCATTATCAGACATAAGAAGAAATTGATGATAACAATGTTATGAATTGATCAAAATCTAGCTAGTGAGGCGACAGACAAAGTAAGAAAGAGGTATACATACTAACTATGAATGAGCTTACATAGTGAGCCAACAGCAAAAGTAAGAAAGAGGGCAAGCTCAATCTAATATGATGTTGCCTGCTAAGTAAGCATAGCTCCTCCATAGGAGGATGGAGCCTGAAAAGGATTGACTTAATTCTGAAAATATGCGAAAAATGTGATCACCAAAGACATAATTAGTGCCAAGTACGCCCACTAAGAGTGGAGGATATTTGAGCTAAGCTCAAACAGAAGAACATGTCACTTACAACAATACTAGATATCACATGGCCCATTAGCTTAGTATAAATAAAATTAATCCCAAGATAATCACTCAGAATTTCATCTTTAGTAGGTTTTGCATTCACACACACAGATTTGAAACAGATTTGAATTTTGTTGCAGCGACTGTTTGACTAACACCAGTTAGATGCATCTTTAAAGAGACCATTAAGAAGTGAATCTGCAAGGCAAGTCTACCATTCCCTGTTACTCGTGATGTTTTCCCTCAGCTAAATAGGATAGAATTTGATGTCCAAACCTGAGAAGCTTCAATCCATGTATTCATACATCATCACCTTCATTCCAGCTATGATATTTCACCTCATTACACTGGATGCAGACATTAATTTCTAACATCCCTCTTGGACCCAATCATATATGGTCTTTCCATTGTTATTTGTCACTCATGGCTCAGACATTAATACTAAGACATCACAAACATTATGGGCCTACCATGGTGGTCTGCCATTAGCACTTTTTCACAGAGCAATTGCTAGATAAACAGGTCTTGAAGTCAAGAGTCCCAGAAGAAGTCTGATGTCTTTTGCAATAAAAGCAGGATAAAATAATCTGTTTCCATTGGAATACAACAGGTTTGAAACCTGTTGAATATTGTATTTTTTTTATTAGAACATGCCTTGGATATTTGCTCATAGACATCATCTCAGACACTGATCTTCATTGGTCTTAGTCAAGTTGTCATCAGAGTCAAAATCTGCCAATGATGTCATTTTTATTCCATGAAATCACACCTTGATATTTTCTCATGAATGACATATGTTGTTTTTCTGATGAAACACACCTCAACATAGACTCATGTGTACTTTCCTGAGAGCTCCATTTTACTGATGGTGTGATTTCATAGGATAAAAATATCATTGTCAGCAGGTTTCAAACCTGCACAGTTCAAAGAGAAACAAATTTTGACTCTAGCAATCACTTGGGAATTCAATCTTTGATAGGTTTTGAACCCACAGAGACAGATTTAGATTCTGTTGTATCAACTGCTTGGCTAAGACCAGTGAGATGCACTTCCAATGAACTCAATCAGAAGTGAACCCTCAAGGCACATTTATCTGCATTTGACCACCACACAAAATGGTGGGATGCAATGACTCATGAGCTCACATTCAAGGCAAGTTTTAATAGCAAAAGAAAAAACCATGTTATTATACAGGTTTTAAGCCTGCTCAATTTAAGAGCAATAGATATAGAAAATGACCATGGGCAAATTATCCAAAGCATGTTTCAGAATCAATAAAAAGTTTATCATCGAATGGGTTTTGAACCTGCAGACAGCAGAAGAAACAGATTTTGATTCTGTGATAGCAATGATATGACTAAGATCATCTGTTATCACCTTTTAAGAACACCATCCACAAGCAAATATCAAGATGTGTTTTTATGAAAGAAAAATGACACCATTGTTGGCAGGTTTCAAACATGCACAGTCCAATGGAAACAGATTTTGACTCTGTTGACCACTTGACTAAGGCCAATAAAGATCTACACCTAAGAAAATATTTACGAGGGAATATTAAAGACATGTTTCAACAGCAAAACTATGACATCAAACAGGTTTCAAACCCGCACATTTCAACAGAAACAGATTTTGATTCTGTCATGAGAACTACTGAGCTAAATTTAATTTAGATAGGCTTTTGAGGAAACCGTCCATAAGCAAATGCTGGGGCATGTTTTCATAGAAAACAAATGTTGCAATTAGCAGGTTATAAATCTGCACGATGTGATAGAAACAGATTTGACTCTAGTGATAACTTGGCCAAAGCTATTAAAGATAAGTCTTTGAAACATTGTCTATAAGGAAACCTTCAAGATGTATTTCAAAGAGGAAGAAATATTGGCTGATTTTGATGCAGTAACTATGAGTTCAAAAGAAGCAGCTAATACTCAGAGAGATTTAGGATTGACAAAGACAGACCTTCAGAGTGTATAGAGTTCAAAAAGTGCACAGGCCAGAGTCATGGCAATGACATGGCTAAGATCATTTAAGATGAGTTTCTCAGAAAACCAGGTGTATTATTATAGAAAATAATAATTTATCATTGACAGGTTGCAAACCTGCACAATCTAAGAGAAACAGATTTTGACTCTGGTAATCACTTGACAATTTCATCTTTAGCAGGTTTTGAACCCACACAGACTGATTTATATTCTGTTTGATTGACTGCTTGGCTAAGACCAGTTGAATACACTTGCAATGACCCTAATCAAAAATGAATCCACAAGGAAGTTCTTTCAATAGTATGGTTGCCATGATTGATTCTTTTATTTTACTCTTATTGCAAAAGACATCAGACTTCTTCTGGGGCTCTTGACTTCAAGACCTGTTTATCTAGCAATTGCTCTGAAAAAGTGCTGATGACAGACCATCATGGTGGGCCAATGATGTTTGTAATGTCTTAGAATATTAAGAGCTGGGTCATGAGTGACAACTGACATTGGAAGGATCACATATGATTGGACTCAAGTGGGATGTTGGAAATTAATATTAGAACTGACAAAATGCAGATAAATATACCTTGAGGATTCACTTCTGAATGAGTTCATGGAAAGTGCATCTCACTGGTCTTAGCCAAGCAGTTGATACAACAGAATCCAAACCTGTCCCTGTAGGTTGAAAACCTGCTAAAGATGAAATTGCGAGTGATTATAAGAGTCAAAATCTGTTTCTCTTGGATTGTGCAGGTTTGAAATCCACTAATGATATCATTTTTATTTTATGAAATCACATCACCAGTGAGATGGTGCTCTCAGGAAAGTATACATGAGTCCATTTTGAGGTGTGTTCTAACAGGAAAAAAAAACATATAGATCAGTGTCTGAGATGCTGTCTATAAGCAAATATCATGTTCTAACAGAAAAAATGTGACATTCAACAAGTTTGAAACCTGTTGCATTTGAATGGAAACAGATTTTGATTGTGTTATGACAACCACTTATCTAAACACAACTCTGATGAGGTTTTAAGCAAACCGACCATGAGCATATATCAAGGCGCATTTTTATAGAAAATGAAAATTATATTTGGCAGGTTTTAAACCTGCACAATCCAAGAGAAACAGATTTTGACTCTGGCAATCACTTGGCTATTTAATATTTGATAGGTTTTGAACCCACACAGACAGATTTAGATTCTGTTGTATCAACTGCTTGGCTAAGACCAGTGAGATGCACTTCCAATGAACTCATTCAGAAGTGAACCCTCAAGGTAGGTTTGAAACCTATTGAGTGACACATTTTTTGTATTAGAACATGTCTTGGATATCTGCTCATATACAGCATTTCAAATGTTGATCTTCATTGGTCTTAGTCAAGTTGTCACCAGAGTCAAAATCTGTTTCTCCTGAACTGTGCAGGTTTGAAACCTGCCAACAATAATATTTTTATTTTTATTCTATGAAATCACACCTTCACATTTCCACATGAATCTTAAAATAAATTGGAAGGCCTTGATTTCCTGGTGGCATCATGACTTTCTTGGAAGAGACACCAAAAAAAAATATTCAAAAGCTGGTGTATGGAACCATGTTTCACTGCTAGCCTTGCAGCAGCTTGTTTTATGATCCATGCCAACTGTTGAACATTGTCCGAGTCACTCTCTATCATATCCAACTCAATATGCATCAAACCTGAAAATATCAAACATCACACATCACACACACTCATGCTACTCATGTCTCATCTCGTCCTACTAGTCCTGCTAGGTGCACAGTTTATTATTTCTCACATTACTCACATCATAGACGGTGTTATTACATGTTTTCCCATAGTCTGCAGCACCTCTTGTATTATTACATAGAACATTGGACCTAATATTGTGCTACAACTTTTGCCTACATACTTCTGTATTTCTATGTAGATAGATAAGTAGTTGGACTTACTCCAGTATCACCACAATTCCAGTAGAGGTGAGCACCTCTCTGATACTTAGACTCATGACTTATATTGGTTTGACCAATGAAGATCAAAGTCTGAGAAACTATCTATGAGCAAATATTCAATCAAGCATGTTGCAATATGAAAAAAAAAAGTGTCATCTTGTGTCATCTGACAGGTCTCAAACCTGCAGACTTTGATGAGAACACATTTTGAATCTGTCGTAGCAATGATGTAGCTAAGACCATTTTTAAATGAGTTTTTGAGGAAACTATTCATGAGGAAATGTTAAGATGTGATTTCATAGAAAGAAAATGTTATTATTGGCAGATCTCAGACCTGCATGGTGCAAGAGAACATCAGGAAAAACCTTCCCTGAGAATTACACATATATTTACAACATTATGTTGTTTTACTCAACTTTACTCAGTTTTTTCAGTTATTATTATGGAAAACTACATTATCACGAAAATTATGTGTGTCCTATCCTACATTGAAGTACATTGAAGTAAGTGTATATACAACCCAGAGCGTGGATCCAGTAAAGGACTGAAGGCCGAAAACCATTTGACATAGGCAATATGCTGTGGTGGAGGGTTCTGAGAATTTTGAAATACCATTTCAACACTGTTTGCAGTTGGTTTGCGGCAAAGTGAAGACTGCGCGAACCTGCATGACACGTAAATCTAATGATTCTTTTATATCAGCGGAGGATCCAGTGGACTCAAAAAGTCTCACCTTGTGTAGACATGGCTCAGAGTGTGTATGGAGTTGAGTGTTTCAGTCACATGTATCTCATCATTCCAGAACTTGACTTGGTGGGAGATGGGCACAGAGTTGCAAGGCAAATGAATGTTCACAAAAATTTGAAAATCGAACGACTAATGATTACTAATCCTCAAGCTCCCTTGTTAAATTGTGAGGTCCCATGTGTCAATGAGTCACATGACGGTTGGCTTTCAAACTTCGCCAAGTTTCACTGTCGTTCACTGACTGATTCCCACCTTTACTTCTTTCCACACTTCTATGATATCATCTATGTCTGCTTCTCTCTGGCAGCACTCAACAATCTTCTGGTGGATTTCAATTTTTTTCATGTCATGCTAATGTTTTCATTCATTATCTTGTTAAGCCTCTGGCTTCAGCACTCTGTTCATTTCCATGAACCGTTCTCTCCTGCAACCGTCCTCGTAGGTCTGCTTTTCTTTTGTATATGCAGTTCAACTATCACAAGTGTATGATCAACGAGTTTGGCGAGCATAACAGGACTGCACCCATGCAGATCATATTCTTCCGAGATGGGCTCTCTGATGGCAGATATGCCATCATGGGCAAAGAAGAAATTGAGGACATCACAGGTGAGTTAGTCCAGCAACGGCCATTTCCTTTCCTAAAAGTGTCTACTAGGGGCGATTGACGATATCTGGCAGAACAAGAACTTGAAAACCGGAATTAAAACTAACTTTCTCATAGTTGTCAGTAAATGGCAAGTCTTCAATCCTTTCTATCCCTGTGCTTCTCTCATCATCTACCACATTTTGTCAAGACACCATGTCCGATTCTTCTCATTTGTGTGTTTCAGACTACACACCGCATTCACCTCTGTCACACTCAATTTAAGTGTTGCTACCACGGTTTGCGTTTTGTTGTTTGTTGCTGCCTCAGCTCATGGTGTGCCGTCTTAGGTTGAGTCCAATATAATGGTGGCAAGAATAGCAAGTTCAATATGGAGCCTGTCTGACTTTCTAAAGAGCAGATTATTGCACGCGTTGACTGGGCAAACATGGGTGGCGAGTCTGATTAGTATTTTTTGCGCTATTTCTTTCAATGCATGCTGGCGCTACTAGTCTTGTCAAGTAAAATCTCCTGCTCATTAGTCATTATGTAACATATCGTATGTCGAGTCTCAATGACAATATAATGTTTACTGCATTTTCATTGATATTACTTGAAGATAATATGGAACAAAGACTCCCTAATACTGCACACTTTATCGCATTTTATCGCATTTTATGCCACTTTATTGCAATGAAGGCGTCGGGGGCTGTTGATTAGTTCATAAATATCACTAATGTGAAACATGACGATAAAACCCAATAAAACACCATTATTCACGCAAATTTGCCGTAATTCCTGGGGAAGGTTTTCCCTGATGAAACAGATTTTGACTCTAGTGACAACTCAACTAAGACTGATAAAGATCAGTGTCTGAGAGACTGTCTATGATTCAATATTCAAGGCATGTTCTAATAGAAAAAATGCAGCATTCAATGTGTTTCAGACTGTCAAGGTGCAAACAGATTTTGACTCTGATAATCACTTAATAATTTCATCTTTAGCAGGTTTTGAACCCACACAGACAGCTTTAGACTCTGTCATATCAACTGCTTGGCTAAGACCAATTAGATTCACTTTCAATGAACCCATTCAAAAGTGAGTACTCAAGGTACATTTATCTGCATTTTATCAGCTCTTTCAATAGCATGGTTGGTGTTGATTTTTTATCCTGCTCTTATTGCAAAAGACACAAACATGCAAACTTCACCTGGGTTGCCCAGTAAGTAAGGCTTACAATACTGGGCGACTAAGCATGTTGCCTAGGCTTACAATGGTTAATTACATTCAATCCCAGCACCAGCATTAAACCTTGCCTCAAATACTACATAATACCTTAGGCATAAGTACTGCTAGAGGCATATATTGACACCAGCATTAAATGCTGCCCCAAATAATGATATTTTTGTAAGTCTATTTTGGTAATACCAGAATATTCCTGTCCTCGACATTAATGCCAACATTGAGCTCTCTTTCCCGTGCATCCTCCTCTTTGACATTGACATCCAGCTCCTCAACATCAAACTTCCTGTTTTACGGATCCTGTCCCTCAATTTTGAAGGTTGCCAACATCAAGGTAGAGTTCCCTTTCCTCTGCATATCATCCTCAACGTTGATGTTGAGCTTACCAAAGTCAAGCTCTCTTGCCTGCTTACTCCCTGTATGCATTCATGCTCCATTGGCTCGTCAATTCTCCCAACACCCAACCACCTGCACTGTCTAAGCATCCACTCTACACTACACAGGCCACCTCATGTCCCTTCACACATTCACTTACTCTTAACTCATCAATTCTCCCCAACACCCATCTCCACATGCCTTTCAATATGGCCTCCCGTGGCACCTCTTCAAAGAAGATTCCAGGACTGTTGCATGCTGCCATCAAACATCACTATCATGGCTCAACCTGGTGGTCTGGAATATTGACGGCAGATAAATAAAGCCAGCACAAGGAGGAGGCAACTATGAAAAGACAGGCAATTGCAAGGTAGGTTTTTTTAAACAATATTTCTATTTGACTCATTTAGAATACAGAAATGTAGCACCATGTGCCCTGTCTATATGTCCGCTCTACACTACACTGGCCACCTCACATCCCTATGTCCATTCACTCTCTATTGGCTCATTGATTCTCCCCAATACCCATCTTCACATGCCTCTCAATATGGCCTCCCACAGTGCCCCAGTGCTTGCATTGTGCTTTGTTTTTGAGATTGTCGTGTATCCTGCTCATGTGCCATGATAACAGTCTTAATACATGTCATTGTACTACTCAGAAGGAATTGTCAGAATGGTGCCAGTAAGATTAAAGTACGAAGTTCCACAGCACAAAGTTTGTCAAGTATGAAAATCATTAGTTCAGGTGAGAGCAGGCCCACTTAACAGCATATTCAAGTTCATAACAGCTGCTTCATAATCAAATTCAGTGAATGTGGAGTCAATGAAACCTGTGCTACTGGAGGACAATGATACCAAAGGGTGAAAGGGAACATCAAACAATGTAGTGGGTTCTTGTACTACAGGTGTGTTAATGAGAGGCATGCTATTGAATGCAAGAGGTGTGTCGACAAGAGATGTGCTATTGAGTGCAGGAGGTGTGTCAACAAGAGGCACAGTGTTGCCGGTCATGTTTTGGGAGGAGATGAGAGTGCTATCCATCTCATTCTCACTGTCAACAGTAGTAGGACTCATGTATGGAGCCTTCTTGTGGGGCCTTGAGGTTACATTTTTATTGGGAGAAAAGGCACAGCACCACTTCTTGCCCTTATCTGAGCAAGGCCAGCAGCGATGTTCAACAACCTTGCTGCTGTTGAGCCTACCCTTTTGCTCCTCAATGAGCTCCTGTAACTCCTCATCATCTAGCTGTCTCTAGGCAGTTTCTCCAGACTTCCATCTCTCTCTAAGGTCCATGCCTTGCTAAAATTGTTGAAGGGGATCTCATCGGGCCATCCTTTGATTACTACTTGATAGCGTGAAATAACATTGTGCCAATAATGGACCCACTGCATTGTCGCCTTCAGGTTATTTGTAATCTGTTTTGTAAAGTGAACAACAAGTGAGAATGTGAAAATTCGAGGGATCTAAGTGACTTATGAAGTTTATGGTTAATCAAATAGCGGATCTCGCTGCACAGATCAGAGCAGCATTTTTGATGGTTTTTAGCAGCACCTGCAAATAATTAGTGATACATTAGAGGAACAACAAAAAACTTACGATGTATACCATGAAATGCGAAGCCTTCCATCTTGCTGACGAACTCTTGGTTGTCAACATTCATCACAGACTCCATGAAATTATCAACACCCTCCATTGCAAAGGTAATTCCACAAAGTGAGAGGTCAGTTGAACTATGCATTGTGTAAAGTATCGTCTCTGTGCCTGTCTGACACCTTAAGCTATTTGACTGCATGAATCTGTTAGTTAATGTTATCAAAAATGGAATAAAATACACATCTCATTCTCAATGGCCTTGATTGTTTGAGTAACATCATTGATCTTCGACTTTGTGGATATATAAGCTCGATTGGTCTTTGTAGCCTTGTGTTCCCCATACTCCTTTAGAAGGGAGTCTTTTCATCCTTAGAAAGTGTGTGATACTCTATGCAATGCTCGTTGATGAGCTCTGATAGTACAGCCTTGCCAGAAGGCCCTTGAAAAATGTTTGTCAATAAGAATAGACTGAACTACTGAAAAAACCTTACTGTTTTCCTTGTCAACACTTTGATTCTTTTTCCAGCAGAAGGTGTCCAAAGCACTTGGACCACAAAAGGCTTTGACCCATGTATAATTTGTGCTGTACTCAATGGATCCTCTTGTGGTTAGAGGTCATGGTTGTTTTAACAGACTCGTCGATGCTAGCCCAAACATTGTTGATAGCAGCATTGAAACATTGGTATTTTTGCAATGTGAGGCAGTAAGTAGAGCTCACACTTCCTTGCTCAGGCGGACCTTCAGACAGCGAGGTGTTAAAGTTTGGACCCATGATTTGCCACTGGTCAATGTAAGAAATAATTGAGAACTCATGGCCTGATATTTTGGATTAGTTTGGGGGTTCGTTTATATAGATTTTGAAACAAACATTGTACACTAATGACCTACATTGGCCAAACAAAATGTCAGGGCCGAGAGATTACTAGACAAATAAAAGACCAAAGAAGTAAAGTGCACACAGGCAAACTACAATCATGAGCCACTGTAAAATTTTGTTCAAGATTGATGCTGGCTGATGAATTATTCAGTAAGTGAACCATGTGGAGTGTACTTTATAAAAGGACCTCGTACCTTGGGGTTCATGTCCAATTTCTGCAACTGTAGATCAGCATTGAGTGCCTTCACAAGATTGGCAGCTTGCTCAAAAGTAAAGGCCTCCTGAGACCTAAGAACAGCTTCTCAATGGCTGCTGCATACAGTTGAGGTTAGCACACAAAGCTTCAGAATCACCTCATTGCTCATTTTGAAGTGATCAAGCACTACATCTGTGTGTGGGCTGATGCTAATTATTGGTGAGCCATCAAAAGCATATTTACGAGGGAGGTCAGGGTATGTGAACCCCAAGCTCTGCTCTATTGGCCCATCACAAGTAGTATCTTGAAGGTTCTTCAGAAGCGAGAAAAGATCAGCATTTTAACACTTGTGGACTTTTGAACTTCCATCGGGCACAGTAGAAATACCCAAAGCAAGCGCTCTGGCATGTTGAACAGCCACAAACTGCTGGTAAGAGCTGGAGCAATTCTTCAACTTGGTGGTGGAGTGAGTCTTGAAGTTGTGAGTGAAACCTTTCGGAGGGCGGGCAGAATATTGAATGTGTGAGCCAGTGGGAACAAGGGGGGCTGGTAAGACTTGAGACCCAGTTGGGTTCACTTGAGCAGCTAGATCTATGTATGAATGAAATTAGCACAATCAGGTAAAATTTTTGGAATGCAAACTAACAGCAATGAGGAGTTTGAACGCCCTCAATATGGCAGTGCTCTGTAAGCATTGAAGGTGGGGTATTGTGAACTCCTCACAAAAAGCTTGCACTAGCACTGACACATCTTCTCTAATTTGTTCATGGATCTAGTGAAGCTCACAGGGTGTAACATAGAGATCCACAGCGACACGTTCAGCTGACATAGTGCTTGTAGCATTAGATCTAGGGCAGCAAATGAGAAATGATATTCCACCATCTAGATGGTCTTGCATGGAAACCTAGAATATGTCCTTAAGAAACAGTAAACTAAAGTAAGGAAACAAACTTATTGCATCAAAAATGTCTTGGAGCACAGTCTCCACAAACTCCTCATGTGTAATCATTCTTTGGTCAGGAGATGTTAGTGCCTTGTTAAATACAATATATGATGGGTGAAGTCCAGCAGGGGTCCTTGTATGATAATGTGCACCATCCAAATGTGAGTCGTATCTGAGCAATGCATGAGCAGCAGTCTGCTGTTCTGCATTACTGTAACCCAACATGAATGAACTGGAATGAATAGCCACAATGTTTGAAAGTGTGAAATGCTGCCCAATGAATTGACCCAAGTCTGAACTGGCCGCATTAGTATCAGTAGTCTCTTGTGTTGGTAGTGCTGAGCTTTGGGGTTTTTTGGAGGTTGACATGTTATTGGTTAAAGGGAGTGGAGGTGAAGAATGTGCAAGTAGTGAGGCATTTCTTGATCAAGATACTGGCACCTGTATACCAGAAACATTATGTGTACTATAGATAAGATGAGAAGAAAGAGACTCAAACAATCATACCAATGTGTAGTAGCATGCATCTCAGTGCACATGATATGCAGCAGGCCATTGTGAGGTGCTAGAACAATGTAGAAGTTCAGTCTTATATTAGTGTAGTGTGGCAATGTACTAAGTAATTCAGTGAAGTATTCAAAAGTCATCACGGTGAACATTGATGTGTCAACAGTGCTTATGTAAGCAAGCTCACCTCCATTATCATACCACTCATGTAAATCTTGGGTTCAAGCAGGGTAGCTTTCAGACCACCGCTCTTGCTATTCTAGAGCAGAACAATGTTATAAATTCTGGTGAACATCAATGTGTTGACAGCAGTCATGTAAGTAAGCCCACCTCAATTACTATATGTTAACATTTATATAAATCTTAGGTTCAAGCAGGGTAGCTTTCAGACCGCTGCTCTTGCTGTTCTAAAGCAGTTCAAGCAGGGTAGCTTTCAGACTGCCACTCTTGCTGTTCTAGAGCAATTCAGGCAGTAGCTTTCAGACTACTGCTCTTGCTGTTCTCAAGCAGAAAGACACAGTCAAGTAAGTTTTGATATAAATCTGCATAGGCATTAGATATTCTGTAGTATAAAAGTATATGAAAGTTGTCAATCAACAATAGACACTATATAATCAGCCATATCCTGTGTGACTTGTAGCTGTTCCTTGTGCTCCAGCACATCCTCGTCAACATACTCAGACAAGATTATATCACGAGCTGCTTCAGCGTTTGTGTAAGTGGTAGCTTAGTTGATGTAAAATTATGAAGAAAGCATAAAGTACATACTGTCCAAGCAACTTCTAGGTCTCTCTGAAGCAGGATGTGACTCGCTGGCCCCAATCTTAATGCCAATACCTTGATTACCTGAAAAACCTGGTTGGAGCTCAATTTGATCTAACCAGAAGGCATGCATGACATTGACACCAGCCTGTAATCTCCATTGCCTTTGTAGCTCAAGACTTAGCAGGGGGTCGGAGACAGAAAGCTCATTAATGACAGTGATTGTTTTCAGCTCCTCATTGTGAATTGATGTGCGAAGGCGTCGAACCTCCACATCAAGACACTCGATCTCCTCATGCACATGATGAAGCTTAAAATATTTGACAGTCGCCTCTCGATGAGCAGGCTTTGCCCAGTCAAGCTCACGAATGTCAGTATGAGATTAGCAGAGTAAATCAAACTCGCCCAGGAAGCTGTATTCTGTGATGTCTTTCCAAGACAAAGACAGATGTGAGGGATCCAGTGCAGCTGCCTGTACATTGTAACAGCTGAGAGCATTTTGAATTGCTTCAGAGCGTCATTGCAATGCCTTTCCAATTTTCTGACAGATTTTGTATCCTTGCAAGTATCAAAATTGAGAAGAAATAGTAATCAATTAAGTCCATACCTGTGCCTGAATGCGAAAGCTTCAAAATTCGAACAGACACATGACAACTAAACACTTGAGATCATCTAATGCAACACAATATCGGTGCAGGGAAGTTTCTTGCTTGTATTTATTGTAGTTATTGTCCCCTATTGTCCACCATTCTTTGACTTGAAGTTGCATCTCCACATAAGCAGTAAGTCCTTCTGCATTCTGTAGTTTGGTGTATGCAGAGTCAACAGAAATTCTGGCCTGGGAAAGGGCAGCCAAAATTTGGTGAAGGTCCCCTGCTAGAATACTTGTTAATGCCTGATTGCTGGCTTCTCGGGCTAATCCCCACCTGGAACTTGGTTTGGTATTTGAGTGGGAAAAAAATTAATGAAAATGATAATATTCATCTTCGCTCTGCCAATTCATCAAGAACTTCAACATAGCATTGTAGAGACTTGCATGTCTCAATGCCGATCTCGTGCGCACACACGTGCGCCTTACCTGCACTCGCGCCATGCGCGCTTCCTCCTAGGTCTTTGCGCTACCGTCCGTCCATTCGTCCCATGTCCTTGCTGATTCGCTGGTGTGTTATTCTTATCTCTTTCATTGAACTAACAAAATCTTCAGTCTGGTGTCCATGTTTACATATAGAAAGTCTGTTTAAACTTAGTTATATTTAGAGTTGATATGGTTACTCGGTTCGGGAGCGCACTTGGAAGCGCGCCGCATAGAGTAATCTCCCTTCTTAAATACAGAGGAGATTCTCTTGGTTCTGGTACTTACTTTTCCCTTATCTCAGGATACTGAAAAGTGTATAGTTCACCTCCTCACTTGAAATCAGATCAGATTCTCCTATCAACTACCATCTGTGTATCAACTCTTCATTAAGGATCTTTATTCCTTAACACCCTGAACGCGCCTTCACTTCATGCGTGCACATACTCGAACCTCCCGCTCACGCGCACACCTTGTGTGCCTTTGCCTTGCTTACATGCGTGTTACCTTCTCGCACCTGCCAGTGCCCGCCTAGCTCATAGAGTTTCCCTCCATCTTAATTCCGAGGAACTTCTCTCAGTGGTTGTCCTTTGGGTCGAGTCGTTGTCTCGTATCCTGGTCTTGCTGTAGAGCACTCATTAGTTTTAAGTGTTTTCACCTATAGTCAAGATTCCTCATCTACAGTGTATCTGAAGGAGTTCTTTTGGAGGCAGAGCCTTCAGGTTGTCCAGATATAATTGTTCTTCAGAGTGAAACTGAATAAAGTCGGCATCAGTCAAGCCAAGATTGACCTTCAATGCTGAAAGTTCAGCCATAAGGGTATGGATTGAACTTTTCAGTAATGATTCCATAAGAAATTGCCTTAAAACATAGAAATTAGTTACTGTTCAGCTCAGAGGGAAAACCATACTTAATGACACATATTTATCCACATCCCAGAATGCAAAATGTTCCTCAATAGTCTGGTGATGGTGGAATACAGTTGCATGTCTAGTACTCCATGCAAGTTTGTTTGAGGCTGAGAACACATGCAATAAGGCATTTGTGGGCAGAATAAGACTACTGGAATTAATCACAATGAGAGTGCTTACATTATGAAGGTGGCAGAGTGTCTTGCACTGGGCTTGGATACTAAATTGTGGACAGGTTTGGTGAGACTGGCGATATGCAGCCAGAGTGAGCAGGGAGATAGCAACTGATGGGTACAGAGGGGAGCAGCCTAGATATCCATAATGAATTAGTGTTTCAGTTGGATATACATGTGATGGTCGTGGTCATAATGTCATTCTATGTTGACCTATTGATAATATATATAATTTGAGAAACAGATTAACAAAATTAGCAGCAATGTACTACATATATCCACTAGTTCAATGTCAGCAAGGAAGAGACAATCATGTCCATTAAGCATTACGCCAGTCAGCAGACTCGGCATGCCATTGCCTTTATCCCGAGCATGATGATCCAAATATGCATCAATGAGGATGTCAAGTTGACTGTTACAATTCCCAGTCTGGATCTCAATGCGATCATGATGGGTACAAGGGTCCACATAGCAACTAAAAGAAACCAATGAGTGAGAGCTGCATGAAACACAGGTACATACCATCCTGATAGTGATGTGATTTGATGTGATAGACCAGTGAAAGCCTCATACTCCCCACCCTCATGGCTGAGATCTATTCCTTCTTCCCCTGGCAGTGCTGGAAGGTTGATGTCGAAATCAATACTAATGTCAGATATCATTGTTGCGACTGCATTCCGATCCTCAGTCGACATTTCTGTGTTCTAAATGAGTCAAATAGAAATATTGTTTAAAAAAACCTACCTTGCAATTGCCTGTCTTTTCATAGTTGCCTCCTCCTTGTGCTGGCTTTATTTATCTGCCGTCAATATTCCAGACCACCAGGTTGAGCCATGATAGTGATGTTTGATGGCAGCATGCAACAGTCCTGGAATCTTCTTTGAAGAGGTGCCACGGGAGGCCATATTGAAAGGCATGTGGAGATGGGTGTTGGGGAGAATTGATGAGTTAAGAGTAAGTGAATGTGTGAAGGGACATGAGGTGGCCTGTGTAGTGTAGAGTGGATGCTTAGACAGTGCAGGTGGTTGGGTGTTGGGAGAATTGACGAGCCAATGGAGCATGAATGCATACAGGGAGTAAGCAGGCAAGAGAGCTTGACTTTGGTAAGCTCAACATCAACGTTGAGGATGATATGCAGAGGAAAGGGAACTCTACCTTGATGTTGGCAACCTTCAAAATTGAGGGACAGGATCCGTAAAACAGGAAGTTTGATGTTGAGGAGCTGGATGTCAATGTCAAAGAGGAGGATGCACGGGAAAGAGAGCTCAATGTTGGCATTAATGTCGAGGACAGGAATATTCTGGTATTACCAAAATAGACTTACAAAAATATCATTATTTGGGGCAGCATTTAATGCTGGTGTCAATATATGCCTCTAGCAGTACTTATGCCTAAGGTATTATGTAGTATTTGAGGCAAGGTTTAATGCTGGTGCTGGGATTGAATGTAATTAACCATTGTAAGCCTAGGCAACATGCTTAGTCGCCCAGTATTGTAAGCCTTACTTACTATGCCTCACAGCTGTATTGTCACCCCCATAAGTCATCATGTCACACATTGTCACTGCTGCTGCTTTCAGAGTCCACTCGGCAATCCCTAAGAAATAACCTCAAGTTAATGATTGGTTAGTGTGATGTGGAATATAGTATGGGGCATAGCTATAATTGTATGGTGCAGGATATGATATAAACTCAATGCTGGTGTGATTCTGCTGCTCATAGGACTCTCGTGATTTGCCTTTTGAGCCATGTCCCAGTCGTCGGCTCACTAGCACTGACAAGTTGTCACAGCCATTGGTCTAGAACTCCACTACGGCAGCGCTCAGATGACTGTCACCAGCGTGACTTGAACGGTTTTCAATGAACTTCACCATTTCTTAATAAAAATCAGACATTCAACCTTGCAATGAAAACTGCATGATAAAAACATTGATCCAAGTTGTAAATTGAGTGTGGAAGTAAGAATTGAGTGAGATATTCAGGTCGTGATGACTTATGGGGGTCATGACTCAGCTGTGAGGCAACTCAGGTGGCAAACCTACCATTATGACATATCCCACCACAACCCCCTAAGGGTGAATGTATACAGTATGCTAATATTTGTTCTCCAGTTTTTCTGAAAAATATATGTAGAATTATGAGCTCCAGAGTGCATTGTGCATTACTATTGGTTACCACTTGCTCATGCATCCCTCAAAACCACACTTTTCCTACTACAACTTGTCAAACTACTACATCTATTTGAAATAATAATACACAAGAACCTATTACGAGCTTAGACAGATGCATTTGGACAAGAAACAAGGGAAATAAATGTTTGGTTGTGACAAAGGCTTTGTCACTTCCACTATCACCTGCTATCCACTGCTATGGCAGAGTTTCAACTCAGATGTGCATGGATGGCACGCACTCAAGTCAGTGACTGGTGAAAAGCCAGTGTGACTAAACCATGACTTTCCGTGATTTTTCTGTGACTGCATGAAATGTGGTGTGCACAAGCAAGTAGTACTATCATTCCAGGTGTTTTGCAACTTTTTCAGCAAATCTTTTGTAATTCGTCAACCACTTCATATTATCTTCCACAAATTTAGTGTATTGTAGATTCATACCTCCTCTATATAACTCTCATTTTTTCTCATTTTTAGAACATTGTGGTGTGGTGTCAGATGAAAGCCAAGAAAATTTGGGGTCTGACTGCTAATCTGCAAAATATGGTCACATCGAGTCACACCTCAACATAGCACTGGCAGTCAACTTTGACTCTCCGCACTATGCAGCTCTCAATTTGTTGGCATTGAGTATCAAGTTGTTGAACTTGAAGCTTTGAATACAGCAATTCATTAAGTATTGTGAATTTGTGGTTCATGTAGTTATTGTGATTGTACTGCTGATATGGTCCTGAATAAGGTTGACTGCGTGCATACATCTGTACCTCAGCACCGGTATGAGACTTTGAACTCTGCAGCTGCTGTTTGAAGATTCTTGGTCTTCTTCTCTCTGATAGCCTGGATAGCAGCAGTGAAGTTGGCTTTGCGAATTGCATCTTCTTCAGCTTCCTTCTGATGCCTACAGTGTCACAAATTTCCTAAAGTGGTTGCAATGAGGTATTCTTGAAACGAATTTGCAAGGAATCTTGCTATATTTCAATATATTGCAATAATATGGCAACCAAATTGCAACGTGCCGTACCATTGCAAGGCCCGTTGCAATCTGTTGCAATGCCATTTTAACTACATTTCTATGGCAATTTTAAGTACGACTCTATTATTTAAACCCATTTCAAAGGCCATTTTGCCTTTGAACCTTGAAATGCCTTACAAGGCGTTGAAATCTAAATTAGGAATTTCTGACAAGTTTGGTGCCATTATTTCAAGGATGTGAACATGATGCACAAGGAGATGACAATACAAGACTTGGTGCACTTGCCGAGTGTGCTGTAGAGGAGATTGAATTTGTTACACACTCTCCTATCCGCTGTCACATTTTCATACATGTTGTCAATTCTTCCTCTATAGCATCTTAAAATGACAGGATGGCCTTTATCGAAATTGTGTTCTGGAATCCTGACAAGGTGATTGTGATGCTCCAGGTATAACTTTATGAATATACCTGCATGATCTATGGGATCTGGATGATTTATGTTCCTGCATGGTTACAAATTACCACTTTCTCATCTCTCGCAGGTGCAACACCCAAGAAATTTTCATTCTACTTGGACAGTACATCATAGATAAGTAGTCTACATATGCCTGAATTTTTTCGAAGTGAGTTGAGCAGTGCATTGAGGTGTTTTGAACATTTTGCATATTACATGCATGTTGCAGATTACCCGGAATGATAGTAACCAATAGTACCCATTGATTGTGCATTCCGAATTGGGTAATAGTCACGGCAAATTGAATCATCCACCATGCGGTGAAAGGGGAAATCCGTTGTCAGCGGAATAGTGGCATATACACTATCTTGCTTTGTCTGCCTGGGGGAAGCTACTGTGTCGACTCTTCGACCGCGGATATAGCTTTATTTAAAATCCAATAATTTGCTCGAAGAGGGAGGATGTCGATGGACAGATCAGCAGCCAGTGAACGCGGAGAAAACTTTCGGTTATCCTATCAGATGAAGGAAGACGACGACCCTAGGTTATTTAATAATTAAGGGAATTTCAAATAAGAAATGTTTGTTTTTGGCGAGTATCTACCCAGTGCTTAGTCTTCAGTACTTACTACATAGTACTGTGAAGTAGCTACTGCGACTCTGCAAAGAAATAAAAAGAAATATTGTTGCGTGTCAAATGACTCTGGTCTATTCCCACGCCATTATCCGCATTTCTCGAATCGGTGACAACTCACTCATCTTTCAATCTTTCACTCTCTGTAATTTTGTTAAAGCGTCAATCGATCTGATGTCGAAACCATCTACACCACAACCATCAAACACACTTCTACTTCGTAGGCAGCTCACTGAGCTCACGAAACACCCGGTTGAAGGGTTCTCTGCAGGTGCGGGCGGCCTTTCTCCCTAACTTTGATCTTCAACCGATTCCTGATAGACTTCCGGGCAAAGGACTTGTCGATGACAACAATCTTTATGAATGGGAGGTCATGATAATCGGGTTAGTGCAAATCCCTTCAAAGCCATTCATCACACTCACCAGATTTGACAGGCCTCCGGACACCCTGTAGTACGCCCTTACACCCCTCTTCATCTACAACTCTTATTCATACCTAATCTAGTGAAGGAGGGTTCTTCAAGGCTCGGCTTTCTTTCCCTGCAGAGTACCCTCTCCAACCACCAAAGATGCGGTTTATCACGCCCATGTGGCACCCAAACAGTAAGCAACGGGTGCTCTTTGATTACCGCGTGATCTAACCCTATCGTACAGTTTACGCTGACGGTGTAGTTTGCATCTCTATCTTGGCGTGTATTCCTTGTCGTCTCTCTCAATCAAAGCTCATCCATGATTGCAGCATGCTCCAGGTGACGATCAGTACGGCTATGAGGATGCCGGTGAACGATGGATGCCTGTCCACACGGTGGAAACAATTGTATGACATTTGTCAAAACGCTTCCTTTGGCCCGATTTGACTCTCTATCGTAGCTCGTGAGCGTCATATCGCTACTGTCCTCCGAGACCCCAAACACGGACAGCCCAGCTAACGTGGATGCGGCTAAAGAAATTCGCACGGACCATGCTGGTGAGTGACCGGCTGACCTCTAATCGGCTGAATTACTTGATGCTAACTAACTACTTATGTAGCTTACAAGAAGAAGGTACGACGTCTGGTACGTAAGAGTGCGGAGGAGGCTTTTGATTAATGCATCTTCATCCTCCATACATCTTCACCCATCCGTTGTACTCCTGTTTCGTAGTCTTTTGTGTTACTAGTTGCTTCATTTTTGTCATCGTATAAGTACCAACGGAGTCTATCAAGACCTTGTCAATGTTTGAAACGGACACCCGGTCTGATACCTGATCACGTGACACGCACAGTTACACTTGGTGGAGCTCCATTAAGCTGTGACCGTCTCCATCTTTCTCCTCACCCCCACCATCATCATATCGCCCACTACCAAATCACCGATCAACACCAAGCATGTCGGAACAAGCTGGCGAGGCAAGTCCATCAAAGAGTCTCCGTAAATCTAACCTAAAACATTCCAAATGTTGTATGTTATATGTTCTCGTTTCTTGTGCGCTGTAATCTACCCAGGCTGTACCTGCAGCTCAGAAGAGTAGCTGGACGAGCTTTTTGAAGTCGTCAGTATCCATTATTACTCATCTTGTGAGATGCTCTGATCAGTCAACTGACGCCCCTTAGGCTGGCTGGCTTCACGGGCGATCTGTCAGCTATGACTGCTCCTCCGTTTATATTGTCACCTACGTCCCTTACTGAGTTCCCAGGTACTATTGGTTTTGAGCGATATATATCGATCTGACTATGTTGCGTTGTTCAGCTTACTGGTGTGAGCGACCTGAATTGTTCGCTGCGATTGCAGATGGGAAGACGGAGCAAGCCCGAGCATTGGCTGTGTTGAAATGGTTCATCGTGAGTCGAGGAACATCGCGGTTGTTTATCGTTCCGTTTATTTGTATGGTTGTCAGAGTACGCTTAAAGGGCAATACACATCCCGGAACGAATCGATGGGATCTGAGAAGAAGTGTGTGATATGCTTGTATGCATCCTTGGTATGAAGCTAATCTATGATGCAGGCCGTTGAATCCTGTTCTTGGAGAGTAAGCCTCTTTGTTGCTGACACACATCTTGTGCTGATCTCTACTAGACTCTTCTACGGGTATTGGCCAGCGAATGCAGCTCGCGGAGGCAAAACCACCCTAGTCGTAGAACAAGTCTCTCATCACCCACCCATCACAGCTTACCGCATAGAGAACCTAGAAAAAGGTGTGATCTTGACTGGACACAGGTGCCCAAAAGACGAGTTTTAGTGGTACGTTGTCTTTGTTTCAGGTACCGCACGTCAAGTCCCGTGTTCTGACTTGTGTTTCATTCTAGGGGGAAGCATCATCGTGAAGCAAGTTGGACACGCAACTCTGACTGTATCCCTTCCGTCTGGTGAGACCGAGGAATACCTGATCACACTTCCTCGACTCCGTATTGACGGGCTGTGGTACGGATCTCCATATATCGAGCTTGCAGAAACGAGTTACATTCAAAGCTTCTACCGGGTGGCTTTCTACGGTGCGTGCTTACTTCCCACTTCTCGTCATCCATGCTATCTGAATCCTAATTGAATCCGGATTAATGAACCAAACTGAATCTGCCACACGGAATAGATTGAATACAAAGGCAAAGGCTATTTCTCCGGCAAATCACACACGTTTAAAGCAACGCTCACCCCGCCTTCACACGTCCACACGTCTCCCCACGTTATCGAAGGGACGTGGCATACGACGTCTAAAGAGTTGCATAGTGGTGCTCCGTTCCATGATGTCACCTCGCCGAAGGAGGAGATCACGGTTGCGCCTATTGATCAGCAGGGGGAGTGGGAGAGCAGGAAGCTGTGGCACGGTGTTGCGACAGGTATCAGGGAAGGTGATTTTGAGAGCGCTGCGACGTTTAAGGGGAAGATTGAGGTGCGTTCATTGTTCTCGTTTTCCTTTCTTTCTAGAGGTTTTCTGATCGGACTATGTTGGAATTTGGAATTGGCACAGAATGAGCAAAGGCAGAGAAGACGGGACGAATCTGCTAGCGGTATGACGTGGGAGTTGAAGCATTTCAAACATATAGAACATGATCCTGTTTGTGAGTGGACCTCCTCTCTCTTCTGTTCATCGTTTGTCTAGATACTAATGCTAACGCCCTTTGAAGACGAACGTCTAGGCAAGCTATTCAAAGCAAGCCCCCCAACAGAGGATGGATACATTTACCTCGGCAACAGTCCGCGCTCTGAGTCTTAGTCTTAGACACCGAGCAAGTATACCTCCAGATGTGCAGACGACCACTGTCAGCCTATAGAGTATTGTTCGCACCTTTGGATAATCTGGATTGGATTGGACGTCTGTGGGTGAATTGACGTTCCTGATCTGATATCGTCTCCTACTTTCTTTCTAGTTATCGCAAATATGGACTTGATTAATTCTCACTTTGAATTTTATTTGCGGTTGGTTGTGTGAGCGACAGGGCGAGATTGGACGTTATCGTATCACAGATACGCACGGATCTATTTTCACGCGATTGTTAGTTCATTGCAACCTATCATACAGGCATCCGCTGGGTCACATGGCAAACTATCTCACACAGGAGCATCAATGGTACAATGCCATTGCCACATTCATCGCATCGCACAATGTACGTACGAACTTGTTTGCGGTTTGCTTCAAAACCTAGGTGTGCTTGGGTGAGTGATAGTACCGTACCGTATACGATGGCGATGGCGATACGTTTATGTAAGTAAATCGTTCTGCTCCTTATTATCTGCTAGTTTATCGTCGTCAACATCAGCATGCCCCGAGATCCACCGACTCTGTATGGCGTCATCTCCGGACAGGAAGAAGGTGGTTAGCGGGGGTGAGGATGGTACTGTGAGGTTGTGGGACATCGATACATGCAAAGTCGTCGCGAAATGGATGGGGCGCCAAAACCTGTCCGTCTGTTGGAATCAAAATGGTCGGAGAGTGTGAAGCGGATCAATAGACGGGACCGCAAGGCAATGGGACGTGAAGAAAGGAGATACCATCCTTAAGCCGATCGAGAGCGGGCACGCCTACGTGTGGGCAGTCATCTATTCACCAGATATGAACATGATTGTGACTGGTGAACTTAATGGACCCTGGTCGACTGGACCCATTGAGAGCTCCATCAAAATCCGGAACACAAACACAGGCAAGCTCGTGAGACTCGTAACTCTCAAAGGAGACGTTGGTGAAGTGCACTGTCGAGTACGAGCGCTTGGCAAAATCCGGAGTTTTCCCTGATGGTATTGGATGGAACTTCATTAACATTTGCAATTGTCTATGCCATTGGAATATCTACAAATGACCGCATCCTCGCAGGCGCATGGTCCGACGATACAGTGCGATTGTGGAACCTCGATAATGGACGACCCATTGGTTCACTACTCCATGCCGAGCAAGTGAACTGTGTATCGTTTTCCCGCGGATGGAAACCTTGAGAATGGCCAGCCCATTCGTTCACCACTGCGTGTCTTTTTCGGAAGATGGAAAGCGACTAGCGGCTAGCTGCCGCGAAAACGCGTATACATGGGATGTCGCTGCGATAGTTCGAGAAGCCGGCCTCGATGACCTTCTATCGGATTCAAAGGTGAGTTGATGGGCGTGTCTTATTTTATTCCATTTTTGCAGCTGAATGAGCTCTGCCAGGCCAAAAAAATCTCAATCGGCACTCCATGTACGCGACACCCTGGTAAAAAGATATAATTGCATCCAAACATATACTCTAGGCTAGTGCTACACGACCTCCGGTCCAACGACATCTGCCTGTTTATCGGGCCCTACCAGGTTTATACTTACCGAGTTCTCATGTATACCATCACTATCACTTTCAATTTTGTTTTCCTGACCTCCATGTTCTCAGTTTCTCTGCATGGAGCTATCCCCACTCTACTCTCCAGCACCGCCAAGCAGCACGTTCCTTAGTCGTTTATTTCACCGCAGCCTCTTTGATTCCCATGATACGTCACTGTCCTCTCCTCTAGACCGGGCTCGAAACCTTTTGAAACCGCGCGGACAAAGTGGTGACGGCACCGAGTTGCAAGGGCGTAGCCCCGCAGTTGTCGAGGTTCCGTATGTAAAGGGCAAACATGTATGTTCTTACTCTCTCTCGGACATTCAACTCCACCTAATATCATGTAGAGAAACGCTTGCGCGAGGGAGAACCCGAAGAAACTTTTCCCTCCCATCTCGAACTGTCCTTTTCGATACCACACGCCAAGCTCTCAGGCTGGGCTGGATTGGATCGGATCGGACCTCTGTAATACTGATGGACGTTCGAATGATCTGATATTCGCCTACTTCTCCACTGCAGTCATCACAGATATATATGTTGATTCATACTTTACTTGTGGTTATTTTTTGTGAGCGATAGAGCAATGTCATGGTCATTGATTGGACATCCAATACCCGTGAATGCAGTCCGCGCTGCATGAGCCTACTGCTCCGTTCTAGTATCGCACAAACGGACTTGACTGATTCACACTTTCACTTGGGATTCTAATCATGTACTTCCATGTAATCAGGATGGATGAAGGTCTGTGTCTCATGTCATCGGTCAACGTATGCGATCGCGGCGGGTTCATCTCACTGCTATTGAACGTTGATGGACATGAAAGACATTTCAAAGATTATGATAGATGTAGCTAGCTAGCGTAAACGTATCAATATCACAAGAATTAATTATTTGTACACTCGTTATTATTTGGAATGCAATTGCTTTCCAACACTAGGCCAGTAGACTTCAAAAATCATCATCCTCGATCTCCTCACCTATTTGTCCATGACCCTCAGAAGCCGTAATCATCACCGTAATCCCCTTCGTCATCATCATCATCATCGTCCTCATCGTAACCCTTTAACTCTTCCTGTCGTCCCTGGGCACCTTTCTGCTCGTCTTCTGCATCTCTGGCGAGTCGAAGGCCACATGCGTTCCGTATCCCCCGCCCGACCCATTTGTCGCCCAGCCCCTCAAGCATCAAGTCATGCGGCCCCTTGTCCCTTTCATCATCAGTACACGCAACCTGATATGAAATACCGACAGCAGCGAGAAGCATCCGTATGCCCCTTATGAGTGATCGATGATATGCGAGTGTAGCCTCTGAGTCGCTTTCAGCAGGTTTCTCCAATTCTCCGAATAACACCTCGTGAACGTCCACAGCTCCTTCCTCGTGTAACTCCACTTGTCCACATTCGATGCGACGCCAATTTTTGCCATAGTTTCCATCAGAGTCATCATAGTAACCCCAGCACAAGGTTTGCCACCCATTGCGCGTGTGCACATCCGGAGGAGAGCTCATCTTAAGCTCATTCTTGATGGCAAGTGCATTGCCTGCCGTCGCAGAAGGGCGACGTTGGATCTTGTACCCAATAGAGTAGAACCATTCGACCTCTGACCAACGCGAGCGGCAGTAGTATTGAAAATGGACGTCAATGTACACTGGCGCAGTGGGTGAGTAGATCCTGACTATATGATCAGTGGAGCGTGGCTGTCGATCAAAATGGATGTGAGCAATATAATACAGTGTCGATGAGTTGTACGCACGTCCTCGTCGTCAAGTACTGTTTCATTCCATAAGATGGTGATGCATTTCTGGAGGATGCCGTTCTCAAAGTTCATTTCCTTCTCAATCTGGGATACATAAGCCTTGACGCTGTCGAGAAGCCAAGCTTCATCGGAGTACTCGTCGTACTCATCGTCATCCTCCCCTGAATCTTCCTCTGAGCCATCCTCAACCTCCATAGAGTTTTCCTCAGAGCCACCCTCAGAGCCCTTGCGCGATACCGATACAATGTTGCGGTACTTTTGATTGGTTTGGAGGCGATTGATGGAATAATTGGTCCACGCGCTCTGTGTGGCGTGAGTTGGGCGAAGTAAGGGACCAAAGTGGTGTTCCGCCAATTCAAGTCCTTGTAGTTTGGTTTTAGCCACTGAAGGATCGACACTATTGGCACTATTGGCAGACATAATGGAGAGTGAGGACAAAGTAGAAGGGCACGCCGAGACGTGACAAGCAAATTTAAGCACATTGGTCTTTACGTGATCGTGACACCTATGGTAGTTCGCTTGCCCGATATCATAGACTGGCATCCCCCCGCCGGAGGTTAGAAGATGCGATGGGTGAATCGACCCCAGAGATGTCCTCTTCTCGGCGCTCAGACTATTTCGTTGTTTAGTAGAAGATGGGATGACACGTATCATCTGGTACGGGTTTTTCTTTCTCTTTTGAGCGTACTTTCGATAACACTAGCATTCATAGAGATCTTCGATACGACTCTTCTAGCAATAGTATCATGTCTAGGAAGCCTTTCCTCCATGGCAACATATTCCGTAGTTGAGAAGGAGAGGGAGATGACCCATGGCTGTATGCTGATTCCGGAAGGGGGGTTGCAAGAGACACTATTTCTGCGAGGTCGCATGGTGAATGTGGGTTCCACAGCCCAGTAGTGAGACTGGTCACTAAAGTGACGGTAACAGCGAAAAGTAGGTCGGAACAAGCTAGGACATCAAGAGCTAGCTGGATGTCCTTTACGTCTTTTTTCAAGTCGTGAGTCCAACCTTAAGCGCCAGTGACGCGGTATTGTTGAACCGGTCCGGGCGGGTCCGTTGTGACCTTCACCTGCAACGCCAAACCCTACCCAGCGTTATGTGCCAATTCATACAACATAACGCCCCCCGTATCCTGGATTTCTTTTCTGTCGAACATCCCGAATCAGTTAAGTTCTCTGAGTTCATACATCCCTATCTATACTAATTGCAGATCCTGCCAGTGGACAATAATATTCCTACAATCAGATGGGATCGATGAAGGACATCAAATCAAGACGTACGTTCATGTTGGCTCTTTACAGAACTTCGGATGGTCAATAAAATATTGGTGCCTGCTACACAAATTAATCACTTCACGTATGAGAGCTCACGAGAGTCATGGCGTGAAGCTAAGTTGTGAGGACACACTCACCCACATTGATAGTCCACGCACCTTATTCCTCTCATGCAAGTTCAGCCTCCTCCCTGGCTGCTATTTGCATTACCAAAGGAAGAATCGAACTCTTGCAGCGCGAGACCCATTGATGCCTTACGCCGAACGATGGATTTTTTCGACAACGAGCAACCGCGCAGCCAGCTAGATGACCTTGTTAAAGAATTGGCTCGTCATGGAAGCACTACGCTTACTTGCCCTTATCATGAACTGCGGGGTGTTCTACGACGAGTCGCGGATTGGCAATCTGAAACTGAATGAGAGCACGCAGTGTTACTCAGGAACGATTCCATTAACAACAAAATGTATATTTCTCAGTTCATTTTACCATGGACTTTCGTACGTTGTGCACGAGAAGTAAATATGCTGAGACGTTGGAGCTCGCTGTAAAGGCAACCCCTGCAATGCGAGACCCATGTCCTCAACTCTTCAAGCTTCAAGGTCAGTGAGTAGTATGTCATATTCCCGCCCTTCACATCCTGAGCTTGGATTGACCTTTCAGGCAACCGGCTGGAGGATCTTGTTGGAGAATTTTCAACAGCATGCTTACTTGCCCTCCCGCCGTGATTTGTGGGGTATTCCACGACGACGATAGACTGAGGATCTGGATTCTGTTAGCCGTCAGAAAAAGGTTGATATGGTGTTACAATTGTCGTACATTGCGCACCAGCGATGAGAAAGGTATATGAGAGGTTGGAGGTCAGCTCGTAGCGTAGATAAAAATCAGTGCAGCCTGGTCTCAGTATCTTACATAAAGGATGGTTCGAAATGGATCAGAGGGAGTGGACGAGTAGGCAGAGCATATCAATGAGAGTCCGTCGAGAGATGTAAAGGCATGCGACTCGTGAAGAATGAGAAAATTGTGAGCTAATGACGATCATCTGTATATTCATGAGAGATACAACCAATAAAGAGCCAGATGCGAGTCCAGAGTCCAGCCTGTCTGAGTATTACATCAGGGCGTGACGGCGTTGAAGTTGTACCAGTAGTTGTGGTGGCATCGCCAATGGCAAATGTGGCGGACGAGGAGTCAGCTGCTTGTGATGACTTAGCGACATTGGGATTGATAGACATCGAGCTGCCCGCAGTAAAGTTCTTTGAGTGTGATGGTTTCGTGTTCTGTTTCTGTTTCTGTTTCTGTTTCTGTTTCCGCTTCGCGAACGCAACCTCCCTCGCTGAAGCGTTTCTCTACGTGATATTAGACAAAGTCGAATGACGGGGAAAAGAAAACATACACGTTTGCCTTTCGCATACGGAACTTCAACAACTGCAGAGTTGCGCACTTGCAACTCAATTTCTTCACCACTACGTTTACGCCGTTTCAAAAGATTTTGAGCCCAGTTGAGAGGAGAGGACGGTGAAGTATCATTAGTATCTGAGGGGCTGCGGTGGAACAAGCGGCCAAGAAACGTCCTACTCGGCTGTGCTGAAGAGCGAGGACGGCCTTGTGTAGAAAACTGATAACACGAGGGTAAGGAAATAGAGTCGACTGGGAAGTGATAGTGATGACGTACATTAGAACGATCTGGCGAGACTCCATCGAAAAAACCTTGGGGTACCTGAGGAGCAGGCGGACGTCGCTGGACTGGACTTCGTGTAGCGTTAGCCTAGAGTGTATGTTTGAACACAATATTTGATATCTTTTTTACGAAGGTGTCACGTACATGGAGTACCGACTTGTCGCCCTGGCAGAGCGCGTTCAGTTGTGAGAATGCAATATACCGGTCAACTCACCTTTGAATCTGAAAGAATATCATCGAGGCCAGCTTCTTTCACAATCGCAGCAACATCCCATATGTTGACGTGATTTTCGCGGCCGCCAGTAGCTAGTAGTTTTCCATCCGCGGAAAATGACACGCAATACACATGATTTGCATGCTGGAGTGGTGAACTAATGAGTTGTCCATTGTCGAGGTTCCACAATCGTGCTGTATAGTCGAACGATGCACTTGCGAGGATGCGGCTATTCGAAGATATTGCAATGGCAGTGACACCGTCAGCGTGCTCATCCAGTACTGCGGTTTGCTCCCACTTGGTTGCATTCCATATCCTAATTGAGCAATCATATGACCCATTTTTGTTCCAAGTCAGGCAACGCACGGACCATACATGCCCTTTGAGAGTTGCGACAAGCTTGCCTGTCTTTGCATCCCAGACTTTGACTGGAGACTCAACGGGTTCAGACATGGTCCCATCACGACCACCAGTCGCAATCAAGGTCATGTCCGGTGAATAGACGACTGCCCACACGTCACTGTGCCCAGTCTCGATTGGCCCGAGGATGGTCTCTCCGCTTTCCACGTCCCATTGCCTTGCAGTACAGTCTGAAGATCCGCTTAACACTCTCCGGCCACTCCGACTCCAGCAGACAGACCGCACTGGTTGTGCGTGCCCTATCCACTTCGCGATGATCTTGCATGTTTCAGTGTCCCACAACCTCACTGCACCATCCACACTCCCGCTAACTACCGTCTTCCCGTCCGGAGACATTGCTATACACTTCCCTACACCTTTTCCATGCCGCCAGTCTTCCCCTATCTGTTTCCCGCTCTTCAAGTCCCATACCCGCAGCGAGCCGTCGTCTGAACAAGTCATTGTCTTCTGTCCACCTGGGAGGTGTATGACGCTATTGACCCAATCTTTGTGTCCTTCAAATTTCTGGCAGGGCGTTATCTCTGATGTTTCGTTCCTTTGAGTAGTTGTTGAAGACATGCTCCAGGATTCCTACTGCCGAGTGCAGCACTGTCTCAGCTTTCAACGATAAAGTCCCAAAATCGTCACTTACGAGGATAGCAGCGACTGGCGGACAGCAGAGAATAATGGTTGTCCTGGGAAAATCAGAGTTGAAGTCTTTCCTTCATGGTATGTGGTACATGCTTTCATGCTTTATCCTTGTGTTCGGTTCACAGCCTACACCACGACAGCATGGGCTGTGTTGATGCACCACTATTTTAATGTAGCAAAGCAGTACCCAACGATAACGAGATGCATACAGCTTGTTAAGGTTTCCATTGCAGATCCACAGCCACGCTCCACTAATCTTATAATTAGTATCTCCTCACCCGCTGTAGTGTGCACTGATGTACATTGACATACGTTTTCAATACTGCCACTCGCGCAGAAGTCGAGTGTTTCCACACTCTAAGGTACAGGATCTGACGCCACCTCCTGTGACGGCAGCAATGCACTTGCCGTCAAAAAGGTTCAATATGACCTGTCCCCCGGATGTGCAATGGGTGGCAAACCCTGTGTTAGGATTATTATTATGACTTTGATGGAGGCTGTGGCGAAGAGTGACGCCGCATTGAACGTGTAACAATGGAGTTACTAATCAAGCGGAAGATTCATATCTGCTGAGGGCGAGACCCTGGTCGACTCTACAACCCATCGTCTGACATTAACTCCCTGGTTGTCCATCTTCTGTTGTTTGTCAAGGTGTGACTGCATGCTCAACGAGAGTGGCCCCGCTTGAATTGGGTGACCCTTCGCGTTTGCGGTCGCCTCAGCCATTGCCTTGCAGTCCCATCCTCAAATCCGCTTAACACCCTCCGACCATCCCGACTCCAACAGACAGACCCCACACTCACACCCTCTTTGTGACCCATCCATTTCGCGATGACTTTGCATGTGTCGATGTCCTACAACCTCACAGCGCCATCCTTACTCCCGCTAACCACCGTCTTCTCGTCCGGGGACAACGCTATACTGCCTACTGCACTCTTTCCATCTCTCCAACCTTTTCCTATCTGCTTCCCATTCTTCAAGTCCCATACCCGCAGCGAGCCGTCATATGAACAAGCGATGATCCGTTGTCCGTCAGGCAGGTGTATGATGCCCCAGGCAGAATCACCATTCAATTTAAAATTTTGGGGAGGTATTATCGCTGATGTCTCTTTTGTTTTAGTGGTGGACGAAACCATGCTCCGGAATTCCTAGTACTACCGTGTGTAACGCTGTCTCAGCCTTCATCCATTAAAATCCAACATCATCACTTACGAAGGCGGCGGCGGGGGGCAGAAAGCAAGGCACAAGGGGCGTTTTGGTCAAGTCAGAGTTGACTTCACTGCTTCCTGTATGTTTTTACATACTTACTTTATGATAGTAGCTTGATGCGCACTGCCACCAAGGATTATGATCATCTGCTGACTGCTGCGAAGTGTTGTTCTTGTGCATCTCCTATGTTTGCTGCTGTTGAAATGGGAGGCTTGACCGCCCAACAGAGGAGGTACACGAAATATATCCGGCATCTTCTAGTTCGTTTCATTGAGAGGTCTTTCCCATTTTACGCCGGAATTCATGCAGTGTGTTCATGCAGTGTGTCCATGCGTTGGATAGCGATTGAACTTTAGCATCTGAGCTGGGTTGTTTTGTGGGCAGTGGCCAAGCATATTCGTGGTGATTGATTAATGCAAGACGGTCACTTGACTGGAAAAAACTACAACCTTGTTGTTCTCCGAGATCCCAGGGAGTTGATGTTGTATTTGCGCCTTACAGCTTGCAAGCAACGAGAATTGTTGATATCCAATTTGCCCTACAATGTGCACCTAATGCAATGATGATAATTGCGTTCTGGGTTGTGCATCGACAACGAAATCATTAATTACCATATAGATTGGCATATGTGTAGCAACAGGACGTGTATTCAGCACAATACACTACATCAGATGAAAGTCCTATCAAGCAAAATGTATACCCTCTTCGTGAAATGCGGATAGTAATCTGTTGAGCTGATGAGAAAACATAGAAGACAAAACGAAGAGGACTCACTTTAGGAGATCGTCAAGAGTCATCTTGGCTGCCCGCTGTTTCGAGTATCCCGATGAGCTGAGGACTTCTTCTACTTTAGCTTTCATGTTTGTGTGTTCATCGATCATCTGATTCATGGCGATCAAGTCCTCGTGTCGATATACAAAAACTAAAATCACCTTATTTTGTGTCGAGCACCACGTTCTCCAGTTTTTTTCCAGCATCTCGATGACGCCTTTTGCCATGAATGTGGCATGCACCATTTTATTTCGCCTCGAAAAGATGATTCTACCTAGCCCATCAAATTCCTCGAACTTGATGGGGGGAGGAGGATTAAGAGGCACCAGTCGGACCACTGACGATTCAACTTGTGGTGCTGGTCGGAAGTTGTTTTTTCCCACGTGCATCACCAGGTCCACCTTCGAATAAAGCTGTACGTTGGCGGATAGCCGCGACCAAAGCTCTGTTCCAGGTTGAGCGACAAGCCTCATGGCAAATTCCCTCTGGAACATGAGGATTGCTACGCGAAAGATTGGTCGATGAGAGAGCAAGCGAAAGACAAGGGGTGATGATATTTGATAGGGTGTGTTGGATATGCATACATCAAAATATGGGAGATCGGTTTTTACAAAGTCTCCGATGATTATGTCTAGTTTTCGTTGTTCTGGTCTTTCGAAGAGTAGCCTGTCAGTTGATGATATTAAGACGGAGAGGTACACGCACTTCCCCTGAATTCGCTTCGTCAACTCAGCTGCCATCCGTGGGTCCATCTCAACAGCGGTGACATTTTTGGCTTTTTCAAGAATCTTGACAGTAAGGTTACCTGTACCAGGACCAACTTCGAGGACTTTATCCGTGGGACGAAGGTTTGCCTATATGTCACGATTAGTATCTATGAGATCGACTCAGCACAGATATGAGCTGAACCGAACCTTGTCTACGATACTGATGTAGAATCAGCCTGAGTTATATTATATGAAAATGGTGAGCGTACGTTTGAGCAATCTGCGGATTCTTCAAGATATGTTGTCCAAATCTTTCTGTATTGAATATTGGGTTACGGACGCCGGCTGAAGTCCCTTCATTTGCACTATGGTTTTTAGATGAAGACGATGCAGCGGCTGATTTTATTGACGACTGGTGGGTACGCGAGAAACGATCTGAAGTTGCACGAGGCATTCTTGGATTGTCAACGGAGTCCATACTGTTGGCGGAAAAATGCAAGTAGAAGTCAAAACACGTGACTTTATGCCCTTCGAGACTCGAGAGGCCATTGGAAGTCGACTTGTCCAAGTTGCCGAGGTTGCCACCAGGATCCACAATCGAATACTTAGAACATCATGTTCAAGAAGCCCTTGGGGAATTTAAAGACTTCAGGTGCGCGATTGTTACTGTTCACTGACGTTGTGTCTAATCATTGTCATGCTCACAAGCACCCCTACGTAACTCTGATAGGCGCAAGCTGAAACAACACATCATCCAAGCCTTCTCTCTCGTTCCAGATATCGGCGAGGAACTTGTCCCCGAAGGTCTGCTGTCAGTGAAGTTTAACACATACACCGATGAGCCAGGTGTAAGCGAATCTCGTTACAGCTCTTTGTTACTGATCACATATCGATGAGACCCGCAAAATCCTTCACTATGTCGCCGAACCCAGGTGGCTTATTTGGGACCCGGTGGAGATCCTTTGTGGTTTACGCTAGGTATAGGCAGTGAGGACATAATTCCGACTGGTAAGTTGTGCCTGCTGCAAGTCTGTCATCCGTAGCTCAGTTACCATAGTATACACCCTGTGGAAGAAGCCAGATCTCATTCCATTTCTGTCTACACCATCTGCAGTGATTCCAGTCCTGATTGGTGGTGCGGATCTTATGATCCCTGGAGGTACGTACTACTTGCCAGTTTCAGATAGGTCCTCGCTCAGTAGACCCTGCAAGTCGTTCAGCATCCACTATCGCTCCAAGCTGGACAACTTGTCAGCATTACAGAACATATTCACCATTCAACACATATTGGCTCCCCACTTGCTGTCGGGCATATGGCAGTGGATAGTGACGTCTTATCTGAGGCTGGCTCAAAGGGAAAGGCGGTGTTTGTCCTGCATGCTTGGAATGACCATTTATTCGATATGGGACACAAGGGAAACCCGCCAGATCCATGGGAGATGAGCCATTCAACGACAAATGATCAACATTCCACAGAAGACGAGGATGTCACAGAGAATGATATGTTGAAAGAGCCATTAGTTGATGCGCTGAGCTCTCACCTGGAGCAGACGCAGTTGGATGATCATGCTCCAAAAATAGAACTGACGAAAGAAGGTGCGTCAAACCACATTAGTTATGTCTTTGATCCCTCACTCCTGACAGATGTTTCGAGTATTCTTCATGACGCCCTTCTTCAGGCAATGAAAAAGACCCTATCTAGCTCCCAGGCCTCCGCGCTTCCGATGCCCGCTAGTACGTTTTACTCGGCTTATATTCTACCCTCGCGACCTGCCCAGTCACCATCTCAGCCATCCGTATCTACACCTATTGATATCAAACACTCCACCCACAAGTCGCTTGCGTATTTTCTCAAATCAGCAGAGAAACAAGGCCTCTTGAAGCTTAAAGAGATCAAATCTGAGCTGATGGTGTTTTCTGTTGCCACATCACATGCAGATGTGGTCGCACACAGGCCATATTTATCTTTAAAAGATGTGGCTCTCAGGAATGAGAAGCGTGGACAACGAGAAGAAGAGGAGCGGTCACGCGTCAAGGAGCTTGAAGTAACAGAGCTTTGGAAACCCCATCTTCAATCGTTAATATTCTTTGCTGAGGCCGGATTTGAGTATGGATCAACGCCATTTCCTGGTTCATGATAGAACGCTGATGACGTCCCCTGCAGTACATCTGCCCGATACACCTATGCGGATATCAAGACCGTACTCGATAAGTACGTTACCGATCGACAATTGGTGAACGCGCATGACCAATCATATATCAATGTTGGGGCGGACGAGCTTTTACAGACCACCCTTTGCAAGTCTGACAATCCCGCGAACATGGAGTTTTTCAAACGCGAGCAACTGATTGAGCGCCTATCAGACAAGATGCAGAGTTGGTACAAGATATGCGCCGAGGGTAAGGATCCTGTGCTCAAGTGCGTCCGATCTCCTATCATTGCGTTGGTCATCGGTCGTCAACCATTGGGTACAGGAAGGGGCAGATCAAACCAATATCAGTGGTAGTTAAAGTCAGGCAGGGTCGTAAGGCGACAACGTTAATTACAGGTTTTGAGCCATTTTTGTTGGAGGCGGCTGCTCTTGCAGAGGAGCTGAAGATGAGATGCGCCTCCTCAACTTCAGGTGAGGATAACTAATATTATAGTGACGTATATTGTAGCTGATACGAGCCCGTCAGTCTCGCCGGCACCAGGGAAGTCGTCAGGCATGTTAGTACTCGTGCAAGGAAAACAGGTCAAGGAGGTCACAGAATTCCTTACTTCGCAAGGTGTACCAAAGCGATGGGTGCACACAGAGGGCGGGGGAAAGAAATAGATGGGTGCTGGCTAAGTCCATTAGTCGGGACTCGGGAGTATGTGTTTGACAATGAAGGCGTGTATATGTTACAATCAAAAGTGAGATCAGTATTGAATTGAATATTCACTCCTACGCGTCTTTCTGTTTCCATGCCGCGTTCCTTGGTTTCAAGTTGGACCCTTTACCGAGCTGCTTTCTCTTCGGTTTTCTTCTGGCTTAAGAGAAGCTGGGACCTGTTTCAGATAGAGATCGTTGTCATTTGCAAGGCGTACGTGTTGTATGAATTGTTGTCTTGCAGATGTAATCAAATTATCTACGACAATTACTTGGTAGAAGAGGTTAACAAGTCACGAACGCGTCATGTAACGTGTGACACGCGATCCAGCGCTAATTTAAATTGTAAACGCTCTCCCTTTCCATCAAGACTGGTTTCGTGATTTTGTTTCCGTGCCACTCATCACGGATTCATCTCAATCAGAGTATTTGAAGCCTTTTCTTAATGCCAGGTCCATGCAACTCGAAAAAGAAAAAGAAGGCAATTGCGAAAAAGAACAAGAAGAAGACATCAGCTATTCAAGCTACGGCCCCTCCAGAACCTCCTTCCCTCGTTCACGAAATTGAGCCACCTCCAAGCGACATTGTCTGTGTTGCCCATGAGCCTCCACCTGAATTACCTGCTCCGCATGTCCAGGAGCTCCATGAAGAAGTACTACCAATCATCCATGATCCCGGAAACGGTCCGCGAGTTCGCGACGTCCGGGGTTTCCTAACTTCATTTTTTGCCCAGCCTCCTTCACTGGAAGACCCTCTATGTGCGGAATTCTCACAGGAGGAAGTCCTTCAGATGCTTTGTACTACGCTACCGGAGGAAACCGCTATAGTGAGTGAGTGCTATGTGGAGTAGCTAGTGAGCTCACAAATTGATCCCTCAAGGTCCTATGGTACAATAAAAGCCGTGCTACTAGTCGCATTTGTCCATCATGCAGGCGGCTTTATCGCCTCGGCGATATTTTGCCAGACCTCACCGACGATGGCGAAAATCGTATCAACGAAACCCGTTCACCTTTACTTGCCCGGGAACAGGAGATATCGGGTCTTTGTACGTACTTTTATTTTAAAATACAATGAAAACGGCCCTGAATGGTATAGGTTCTCCTGTCTGCTTCATCGTTGCGTCATTCGAGTATCCAAGTGCAATTAAAACGACTTGGGGTAGAACCGCAGATGAAATAGATGACTTTACATGGGACCTTCTCAATGGTCCTGGAGATGGACAGGGCGACAAGGGGCTCAGTCTCTTACTCAAAATGGCACGATTGCCCGACCTTGGCTTGGGACAGCTCTGTCTACCTGACATCGACTTCGATGCTGAGCCTGAGGATCAAATTCACTGCAGGGAAAATTATGAACGGGACAAATTTTCTTAGAGGGTGAGTGAAGAGCTCATGGGAAAGCTTTGAAGTACGCTAACTTCTAAGTATTATTCTAGATCTGCTGTTCTGCTGCATATTCACATCATTCATACCATCTGGATCACGGGTCTGCGTACTATTTATGTGTGGTGTCAAGACTCTATCGTCATTAAATTAGTTGGGTTAACGCTGGCCCTGGATGAACTATCGCTAAAGAGACCCAAAAAAGACCGTAGGTCTGTTGTGTATAAGACGGGCCGTTGCATCGTGGGTTTGTTGAGGTGGTGGTTATGTCAGCAAGAGTCCGTGCCCTATTCTCACGGTTGTTAGGTGGCTGGCCTTATACAAGGCTCCCACCCGCCAAACATCCCCTCAGCCAACCTTGCCTGTATAGCTGTACTGTGGTCCTCACCCGCCTAAATCAAAACCGTGCTTAATACTCACCGTAGTACACAACAACAGTCAGTCACCTTTTTTATTTTTTATTATGTTCTATCTGCTTCATGGACGTCCTGCGCTGTTCACTGTCACTTTCTACGTCGTTTTATCGTCGTCGAGCTCGTATAGAAAGTGAAGACGGGCGCCGGCCGTGTTTGTTTGGCCACCGACGCGTTGACGCGTACCGCGTCTCTCCGCGTCGCACTCGTTTTCTTTGATATCTCTCATGCCAACGACGTGTCGAATCGATCTCTCATGCGTTTTCCATGCTCTAGATGCCCAAGGACACCACCAAAACCAAGGTTAGTCTCCTATGCATTTGTCTTGGCCTTATGCCGCTTTTCCCCATATGCATCATACACTTTCCATTATTTTTGCCTTGTTCAACTTTCATTACGTCACTTGGTCGTGCTCATCAGTCACGATGCTGATTGATTCAACAGCGCAAGGCTGCAGGTAAATCAGAGGGAAAGGCAACCAAGGCTAAAGCTGCCAAGGCCAAGGGTGCTCCTAAGCGGGCCCTCTCCGCGTACATGTTTTTCAGTCAAGATTGGAGGGAAAGAATCAAGACTGAGAACCCCGATGCTGGTTTCGGTATGTCTATGTCATTTCTTCTCATCTTGTTTTCTGATCTCTATCGTAGGTGAGGTTGGCAAACTACTAGGCGCCAAGTGGAAGGAGCTTGACGAGGAGGACAAGCAGGTTCGTCTAAAGTGTAAGATAAGATGCTGTCGGTGCTGACACAACTCACAGCCTTATATCGAATTGGCCGCCAAGGACAAGACAAGGGCAGAGGAGGAGAAGGCGTCCATGGCTGCCGTATGTATATGTCATTTTTCCACATCATGGCATGTATTGAACATCTTTTCGTAGACCAAATCTTCAGCAAAAGAGAAAAGTGACGGGGAAGAACCAGCTGATGAAGAGGAAGATTAATGCCGCATCCCCTGTCTCCTTGTACATATGAAGGCACTGTTCGCTTTCTTCTAACATAATTGTCATAAGTCGTTTTGATGTCAGTTGAGTATATTAACTTCCTATGCGAAACACGCGACACTCGTAATGCACTCCCGACGAGCCCTCGTACAGTTTGCCCTTTCATTCGTGTTGCTATTCATGTCGTGTGTTTTGTTACACATTTATGTTCTGCATGTTGTCTCTCGTTACTTCAGAAAAGATTGTACTTTTGTATGATCAACCTTTCCCAAGTTGGTGGAGTTGTTTGAACAATAAATTAATAATGATGCGGACTTCCATCAGGACCACAAGGACGAGAAAGGTTGTGACTATAGTCACATGATTGTGATGCAAACAATCACGTGATCATAATGTGGAACGCGCCCAAGGACCAAAATCGGTGTTCTCCTTTTCTCCCATCCACTATCGTGATATTCAGTAACTTGACATTGGTCGCTAAAGATGCCACTGCGAACTACCAAAGTTAAAACCTCTACATACGGGAAAGGTTGGTCTTTTTTCTTCGGGATTAGCTCGTGGGCTGACCTGGGACTGTAAGCAGGGATTCTCGAATCTGTCCCTGCACCCCTAGGTCTGCATAATTCACACGAAGAAATACTGACAATCTCACGAATAATGTCCTCCCTCTTGTACAGATCCTGATTCAGATCCTGAATTTAACCCTGGAATCTTTATTTATGAGACTAAGAAACGCGGAAACCGCAAAGCAACGGCTGCTGAGGACGCATCTCCATCTGCCCCCCGTGGCAAGTCACGGAAAAGACGAAGCGAGGTTCTTGGGAATTTTGAGCTATCATCCAGAAGTCGTGAGTCATTCTTATAAGAAAACAATACGTGTTTGTGATGATTATATCAGGGAAGCGCCGGCCAATGGATCCAGAGGCGTCTCGACGCCATAACCCACTTAAGGAGTACTTTGGTTCGCTGAACAATGTTCTCAGCAGTGCTTAAGCTTACTTCCAATAGATGATGACCTTGGGCTTCAGTCTGCGTCTGATGACGGCGAAGTGGATGAAGATGATCCTGAAGACGGCGACTCGGCAGAAGAGCACGAGTCTGAACCTGATCAGCCAGTAATGCTTAGGACCATAGCTGCATTTATTAAAGCTTCGAAGGAGAGCACTCCCATCGTTACACAGAAAAGTCATTCACAAACTCCAGTTGATGATGATTCTGTCACTGGTAAGTTGATCTTGTTCACATATCACATCTGTGAATGCGTACGTTTGATTTCAGAACCCGAGTCTGAACCAGAAGCTGATCAGATTTCGACGAAGCGGAAGTCACCTGCGTCAGAACAGATTATGCCAGTTTCTAAGCGGAGAAAAACACCTTGCCTACATGGTATATTTAACCTTATTGCCAGCCAAGACGACTCTGTTGACGCCCGCTATAGACGAGTCTGAAACTGAATCAGAGTCCGATATAGATTTACCCACAGTCTCAAAGCTACTAGCGTCCAACACCGTGAAGCTTCCAGAATCCGACTCCGAAACGGAGCCTGAAGACGAAGACGAAACATACCCCAATCCCGTAAAGCCTAATGTAATTCTCTGGTCATCATTTACTGATACAGATACAGAATCTCCATGCAAAGCCTGGCTTCCTGCTTGCTCCCGGTCAGAGTCTTCTCGGACCTATGATATTGGACAGAGCAGAGGGTATCATGGTGCCCGCTTCGATCAATACCTATCTGAGAGAATACCAGAGGGAGGGCGTTCGTTTTTTCTGGGATTTATATAAACAAGGTCGTGGTGGTTTGCTAGGTGATGATATGGGTCTCGTCAGTCCAGACGTGTTCTTCTGTTCTTCTTGACTCAACCTTCTACCTTCTTAGGGTAAAACTATTCAAGTGATATCGTTTCTCTCAGCAATCATGAAGAAGCACGGGGACGAACGCGATATCAACAGGCGTCGAGATCATGTGTCTGATATCCAGGATGGACTGGAATGGAAAAAACGTCGCGCTTTACCACCGGCGAACAAGACTTGGCCCACATGTCTCATTATCGCCCCTACATCTGTTGTACCAAACTGGGAGCGCGAGTTTCAGACGGTGAGTGCATATAAGCAACAAGTAATGCTACAATGTCTCACTGCCTGGTCAGTGGGGCTACTTTGAAGTCGGATCCTATACAGGTTCGAAGAAAGAACGGGATGATGTTCTTACCGACTTCAAAATGGGCAGGCTCGATGTCGGTATGTCCATGACTCCATCTCCTCTGTTCGCCTGATAACTTCGAGAAACAGTGCTTACTACATTTGACCTTGCCCGTCGAGACATTGCGCTATTGGATGACCTCGCTTGGTCTGCTGTCTTCGTCGACGAAGCGCATAGAGTAAAGAATCCAAAGTCAAAAATCACTTTAGCATATAATCAATTTGCATGTCTTTGCCGCTTTGGTCTGACAGGTAAGACTACTGCTTCTAGAAGATGATTTGATGCAGCGGGAGATTTAGGCACAACCATTCAAAATAGCTATATGGAAGCATGGACGATACTTGACTGGACCAACCCTGGCCGGTTGGGAACAAGCAAACAGTGGAAAGGTTACGTTGTGAAGCCATTGACGATAGGTCAATCTACTAGTGCGACGGAAGAGGAGAGAACAAAGGCTTTGGTGAGTGCGTATCTTGCAACTCGTGGCTCATTCTGATGTCTAGTAGACGGTCGCCATTATAGTTAGAGACAAGGTATTACCCCAGTTCTTTAAAAGGAGGTATGGCCAACATTTTTTCTGCAGATATTGCCTAAAATATTTATTTTTACAGAACAAAGGACATTATCAAGGACCAAGTGCGAAGCTTCTACCTGTTATACCATCTTGTGCTGAATACAACCATCAGTTACCCACGAAAACTGATGAAGTAGTTTTTTGCCCGCTTACGCCCATACAGGTTGTCGTTTACAAACGCATCCTAAATATGAATCACGTACAGAATCTCGTCAGAAAAGACGAAAATTGTGACTGCGGATCAGGGGAAAAGTCGGTTTGCATTATATACTCTGAGCATGCTGAGAATCGTGTTTTGTACAGGCGCAAAGACTGCTGCTACCATATTGAGAAGGGAGGCGTTCTCAAGTACATGTCAATACTCATCAAGATCTCAAATCATTTAGCGTTAATACTTCCAGGTATCGTCGATTGCTCAGTTGCTTGCTACCATATAAATGCTTATATATGCAAGCCCCAAACGATAGCCCGGAACAAGTGCGTGTGGAAGTTTCTATTGATTTTTGGTGCATTGACAGTTGTTCTAGACCCTACGAAATCGGGAGCTCGCGGAAGTAGCCTTCCCGGGACAGCCTATACCAAAGTATGGGACAGCCATGCTACTGCCGCAGTACTGCGGAAAGTGGGTTGTAAGTCATTATTTTGTAAAATTTATATCCTACACTTTACACTGCCCTGGAAGGTACTCGACACCCTACTTAAAGAATGGAGAAAAGACCGCACGAACAAAGTCCTCATATTCACTAAATCCGTCAAGCTTCTCGATATGTTGGAGTTTCATCTCAATACCAATAGTATGAAGAGGATTTTCCGTATCGATTGAGTCCTGATTGATTGCAAGGTTATGGCTTCCTCAAACTGGATGGATCCACGAAGCAGAGTGATAGTAAGAGACGGACTCTCTATTTGCCGCAGCTGTTAATATCAGCTTCAGGGATGCCTATAATAGATAGATTTCACCAGGACTCCGAAATCTTCATATTTCTCATCTCTACTCTTGCTGGAGGAACTGGTCTTAACTTGACTGGAGCGAACAAAGTGGTCATTTTCGGTGAGTTTAAATATTTTGCTTTGAATGTTGAGACTTAAACCTGGATCATGCAGATCCAAACTGGAGTATGTATCTGGCTCAATTCTGCTTGACACCTACTCATGTCCACGTAGATCCTGCCCACGACCTGCAAGCTATGGACAGAGCATATCGTTTTGGGCAGACACGCGACGTTTTCGTTTACCGCCTCCTTGGAGCCGGCTCAATCGAAGAGTTAATTTATGCAAGGCAGTTGTACAAACAACAACAAATGGCCATTGGGTATCAGGCCAGCGTGCAAACGAGGTATCTTATAAGGACCAAGATTCGAGTGCATGATTTCATATTTTCCTCTTAGGTATTTCTCCGGCGTTCAAGGGGACACTTCCAGACAAGGAGACTTGTTTGGAATCAAGAATATCTTCAAGCTGCATGAGGATACTCTGGCGACTAAGATGGCTGTAAGTTCATATCTTTTACGCAGGAAATATTGAGGTGAACCTGCCGCAGATCGAGAAAGCAACGATCATGGAGCTAGATTGGGCACTTGCTCATCTCAGCTCCACGAAGTCGAAA